TGTCTCCGTGTTTTAGCACAACACGACGCTATGCCTCACTATGCCACTGGTCACATAAAATTTCTCTCATCTTACTAAGGATGTTTAATCCTTCTATTAACAACGCGAGTGTGCCTAAAGACAAAGTCAGCCGACGTTGTACCGATATTGAAAGTACTGAATAAATGAAAGTGTAAATTTCAGCGTGTAAATCAATGGATTCATTAATACATGAACATATGCGAAGCAAATAAAAGAAAAACGAAAACAAATTTCGTGGTGAAAGCGATTTAGAGTTATTTTTTCTAGCGGTATTCAAATTGACAAAATATATTTTATCGGCAACGAGATTAAATTTTCATTTTGGCGACAAGTCCGGCGTATTTGAAGCTTTTGAAATGACACTCGCTGGGTTTCTTGTAGCAATACCTGACGTGCTCGGAGTAGTAATTTGATCAGTTTCATTTAGGAGATACGTAATAGTTAAAATGTGCTGAGTTTAGCTTGGATTAATCAAGAAGCAGTTTGGTTTCCTTGTTCGTAGTAAAAATTAAATTTCTGTGTATTTTATTCTTCGTGACACTTGGTTTTAGAATAGTGTATTAACTTTTCAGTCGTACAGTTCTGATTAAGATTTCAGAAGAACACTTCGCCTCCGCCATTGATGATGCCTGCCACATTTGCAGGCGAAATGTATGGACCAGTATATGCCGAACACGACATGAGTATCAAACATCTTCAAACAACATAAAAAAGCCCAAAATGTAATTTTAATCAACACATTAGGTTAAGATTGATGATTTTCCCAACGACGTTAATTGCTATTCATTATTTGTCATGAATTCAACAAGATGGTTCTTTATAAATTTAAAACAGAACTTTACAATACGTATTTCAAACACAACCCCTTCACAATAATAATAAAAAAATAAATATAGAGATTTTCCTTTCAAATAAAATTCATTTTCCATAGTGGGTTTTTTCATTAAGGTCATGTGCATTTCTTTGAAAATTTTAGTAGTTTTCGCGCAATATTGCGTGCAATAAACGCAATTTTAAAAATTAGAAAACACAGGCTTTTTTCAAAAAAAATCTTTAAACTGGTGGAAATTGCTTTAAATAATGTCATAAGTTTCTCAAAACTCAACCGTTTTTTGTGAAAACTAGCTCAAAACTAGCTTCCGCATTTTCAGAAACGCTACCAATGCATTTCTTCAAATTGGCTCCAATTTTTTTCTTCAAACATTAAGAACGAATAGTGTTAATTGCACTCTTTAATGAAATAAAAACATTTTGGGGTATTTTTTAAAAATTAAACAAATGTAAATTGTTTGGAAGATTGTGCTACGCCGTTGATCCGCGCATTTCAGGAAATTTGTAAACACTATTGTATTTAGGAGTTAATGTGCTTCAAGTAACTTCAAGTGAAGTTATACGAAAACTCAAAAAATATTCTGTGAAAAAGAGCTTAAAAATATTTCGAATTAACAGGAGCTCTTAAACACCTGTTTTTTTACAAAGAAGCTCCAAATTTTTTTTAGAGAAAATTACCATTTAGGAAGAGGTTTTACTTTTCTTTAATACTCTTAAAATAATATTTCCGGGTCTACAAATAGGAAACCGAAATTTTTTTTAAATTTTAAAAAATGTACTTTGCGCCAGAATAGATGGCAGCTGACAAAAGTAAGTGGAAAATCCGAGTAGCTGGCCGATACCAAAGGAAATAGAGAAATAATATGGGAAAGTCTGTGCCAGTCTGTATCACCACTAGTTCAAGAATATGAGTAGTTTTTGCGTGAAATATAGGCATTTTTAAAAAAATTGTTGTCTCAAAACCAATTATCCCGATGTGCGTTGTTAAGAGCTGACGGTAGGATTCGAGTGTTGCGCATTCCCCATGAAGCCATGGACCAAAGTGGTCAATGAGGCACTATGCAATCTGCTGGTGGCTTCTAATAGTTAAGACTGTTTCTATGTGGATTTTACTGGGTCGTCCGGTACAAATGAACTTCTCATCGATTGGTAATGGTAATATTCAATTACTTGAAGATAATTTGCAGTAATTCATAGAATTCATGTTCACAAAACACAATTGATTGATAACAATGCACCATGTCATTGGTGCCACAATTGGGCCGGGCCACAATTGTTCATGATTGGTTTCACAAATATTCTGGACAATTCGAGTGAATAATTTGACTGCCTAGATCGCCCAACAATAGTACCATCGATTATTTATGTGGCGTAATTGAGAAGTGAGGTCGTGCAGAAAATCCAGCACCGGCAACACTTTCGTAATTATGGACGGCTATAGATGCAGCGTGGTGTAATATTTCTGCAGGGAACTTTCAATGACTTATTGAGTCCATGCCACGTTGAGTTACTGTACTTCATGAGCAAAAGGCGGTCCGGCACGATATTAGGAGGTACCCATGATTTTTTCATCAGAGCTGGTAGGTAGGTAGCTGACGCAAATGGCACTATCTAAAGGGTAGTTGATATAATAATTGATATTGCCAAAGAATTCAATGTAATGTATAACTTATGAATTTGTGAATACAGAAATGTAGTTTCTTCGATGAAACAGTTCCCTTTGAGACATGAAACAGGTAGATGGAATAGGACAACTCCCAATATCTGCGATGTTTCATCAGAGGTTGCCAAAAGGAAGTGATATACGTTTAGTACTTCTCACAAAATCAGGATTCATCTTATGAAGAGAAGAAAATTGAAGAACTTTCGATAATATACCTCGTAATGAAAACCATATTAAAGTGTTTTGAATTTGTTAAAAAAACAAACTTAGATTGAAAAAAGAAAATTGCACAGAAGCCTGTTTATCGCATATTATCGATGGAAGGGAAGTTATTGATTGGTGTTACAAATATGTTCGCAGAAGAAGAGGAAACGAAGTAATTCCGATCGTTAAAGATACCAAGAACACGTTAAATGACGTTAATACTAACAGATGATCGAAAAAAAGTAAGCGCATTTAACCTCTACTTCCGTATCATTTTCTAAATAATCTTACCACACTCAGATATCTAGGGACACATAGTGCAATGCATATCAAAAATCAGTTTAATGTAGATGTAAATACTTTGCGGAAAGAATAAATGAATTGAAAGTCGCAGGGACCAGAAGTCATTTGAACTGACGCAAGTAATCTAAGTGGAGATGTCATTTTACGTCTTTCACTTTTCAATAAACAATTGAAAAGTGCCTGAAAATTGGAAGTTTCCTACTGTTGTACCAATATTTAATAGTTGTGACAGAACTCTGTTACCAAATTACATTCCAGTAAGTTTTACATCACTTGCATGTAAGCTAATGGAACATTAGTATCATTGCTTCAGGTCATAGCACATGATGATAGTGGGAGGGTGGATGACGTAATAATAGATTTTGCCACGACATTCCACACGATCAACTGGTTCAGAAATTACTGCAGCAGGGACAATAGGGTGGTGCCATCGATGGATAATGATCTTTGGGATTAGAAAGAGAAAGTCTGAGTTGGACAACAGTTTTTAATTGTTAGCAAAGTTTACTTCAAGAGTCCTTCAAAGAAAAGACATTGCACCTTTCGTGTTCTTCGACCTACTAGATAATTTGGATGCAAAACAAGAATTATTTGCAGTTAAGTGTTTAACAGATCGATTTAAGCTGGAAACCCATTTATTCCACACGGCAAGACGCAGCGCGGCGCAGCACCGACCGAAATGTGTAACGAATTATTCAGTCCGCTATCGCCCATTGTCAACGGCTCGCTTGACCCATCTCCGCCTGATAGCAGATCGGTCTACCCGGACTGCTTCCCCGAAAATTACATCCGGTGGAATCTGATGACAAGGTCAGCGCCGCGAGAGGCCGTGGGAGGATTTGACGTGCTGTTCTTACCAAATCTTTCGACTAACCTCCTTTAGATTTTACAGGTGGAAAATTACTTAATGCAGCAATCGAACATTCAAAGAACTCATGTGTTCCTTAGTATCGCAGGAATCCATTTCAAAATTAGTAAGTTACAATATTTTACTACAACACGACTTCTTAAAATGCGATGGCCTTCATTTGTGGTTAGGCAGTAGAGAAGGCCCCATAGCCTATGGCTCGCCACTAATAAAGACATTATTTATTATTATTTTTATTATTGTTAATTATTATTATTATTATTATTATTGTTTCATTAACCAAGATGGTATTCTTTCGATTAACAGTTGCATCACTCACGCGAGAATTCGTAACGTAACCCTCACGCGTTGGACTCCGTCCAAATTAGGCTTTAAACCACGAAGGGAAGAAATGAAACGAATCATAATTTGTAACAGAAGAATTTTTATAGGATCGTGTACAAATATTTATATTTCTTGGACGAAATAGTTGTTTTTCACTCGATCTGTTTTTTTCGTGTCGGCCTATTGGTATCGACAAAAAACCTTCAATCTCAATAATGCAAAAAAAAAAAAAAATCATTTCACGTACTTAATATAAAAAAAACTATTTTATTTTACTTACAGTGTACTGTAAAGCGCATCCAAACTCATTGAGTGATCATGAAAGTGAACACTCAGTGTATATGAAAGAATGAAATGCTTTTAAATATAAATATTTGTACGTGCAGCTTGTTTATTTCAACTAGACGGATTTCATTGGAATAAAAGAGAAAGCATGCAGCCATCCTTTGTTCTGTTTTTCTCGCCCACACAAAGTTAAGATAATTAATTCTCTTTTTACAAACTACGAAGCAGTAAAGTGAAAAAATGAAAGCATTTTGTGCGAATGTACTCTGGGGAGAAATTAAATTTGCATATTGTATTATAAAAATGAAATTGTGAAAACAGTTAATGTTCTTAAACGTTACAGCCCTCACATACTAATTCCATTTGTTGTAGGAGTGAATAAATCCTTTTAATATCGTACGTTTCAGTTTTACTGAACAAATGGAAATAAAATCAAAATTGTTATACATTATTTTTAATACAGCATTTATCTCATTTTCAATAGACTTTTTAAAAATAACCTTAGGGAATCTGTAACATCAAAACCAAATGTAAACATTTGGAAATTAATAATAGTGGAAAAGAGTTTTCGTGATCACGTGAAAATCACAAATGACGCAGAGTGGCGGTTTTTCAGAGGCGTGAAATTATATGACCTGCGCACTCTAAAATCATCTTTGAACACTTTTTCCATATCGAGAATCCTAAAACGTTTGTTTCTGTTAAAATCGCGATATTAGTGTTTTGCAGCAATTTATAACTTTATCTTACACTGCATATATAGCTCTGTATATTTGTACATATACAAGAGAGTAAAAATATTACGAAAGGAATTAATTTGCTTACCAGTTTTAACCTGCCTGTTCTAAACAGAAATTCCTTCACTGGTAGAATAATTGAAGTACATCGGAGCTGCGATACCGCTCAGCTTTTGACCTTCACAGCTTTGCCCTTCTGCATCACGAACATTTTTTTTAAATGCTACAGTTTGTTAAAACCGTTCCCTATTTTGCTTCACTGGTTTTTATAAATTACTTTTCAATGCTTAAATAATCACGAAAATTCGGTCAATCTTACCTTCTCATTCCTTGCAATATCAGAGGCCGCGCAGTTTTCTAGAAGCGACGTTGTTCTTGCAATACCTGTCTTTCGTTCGTTAATTCCGGCGAACATACACTTCTGACCGTTCTGGTAAGCCTTCCACGTCTGCTTCTGACCAATCAGTGGTTCTTAACTGAATTAACACATCCAGAAAGAATCACAGTAACCATGAAATCATTAATACAAGTCTGGAAAGACATTATATTATTTCACATGATTGTCCCCCAGTCTTAACATCACGATTATTCACATTTGCTTGCTAGTAATTGTTCTCATATTCAGTTCTTAAATATTAAATTTTATAAGATTTTCAATTACCTCTATTTTCCCTAGAACGTGATGAATATCCTCTATGTTGTTTCCTTTTAACTGTATCTCTACCATTTTGCCGAAATCTTTTTTGAGACATACCCGTACGCGTCTGGTGCACAAACGATGAACAAATGGCTCTCAAAACGTCTGGCCGTGCGGCAATCAAAAACTCATTGCTCATTGGTGGTTTTCAAAAGCGTGTCTACTTTTTATTTGAGGTGCTTAGAGCTTACAATGCACCCGCGGCGCGCGCAGTTTAAACTTTTCAGGTTGAAGCATCTCACGAAGCCGGACGGTTTTGGACGTAGTTGGCATATAAAAGATATAATTCAACTCTCAAAACTGCAGACAAGTCTTCGATTTATTTATCTGAAGTATTACAAATATTTGTATAAAAATAAGACGTGAATTAAAATACGGCATATAGAAAATTCAAAATGAGTAAAATATAGAATGAGTTTTACGTAATAACTCGTACGTACTGGAAATTAAAAATGTCAACATGCAATGAAACGCGAAAGTTTCTTTTCAGGTGGGTTGCGTTTGAATATACTCGAAGTGGTAGAATTCGTTTAGACGGTCCAGTGTCGCCAGTTTTACACGCAGACGGCAAATTAATTATGGTTAACAATCGATGTAAATTGTTTGCCATGACAAGTCATTTCCAACTGGTAGCTGTTTAACAACCTGATGCATTCGCATATGGCATATGGAGAAGCTAGTGAAACTAATTGTTTGATTAATTAATTGAAGTATCCTGGCACGTCAAATACTATGGCAATTTGTTTCGGTAGTGTAGTGAAGATTTTATCCTGGGAGGCGGCGGTGTTATTCGCTCTGGACAGTGAGATCTGGCGCCGACCTACATGTTGACTTGAGAGCTATTTCTTCCTCCAGTGAACTCCCTCAGCGGAGAACAGCCTAAGCCGGAACAAGCTCTAAGCTCCCAGTAGTGTTGTATAGTGTGTGTGTCAGGGGGAGAAGACAGGATAATGAAGAGGAAGGAAAGATTGCGTGTGATCCGTGGCTTATTTGTAATATACGGCTCCAACATTATCCTGCAATCGATCGTAAAAAGACTGAAAACTACCTATTAGAGCAGTCGGCTTCTAGAATCTTCCTCCAGAATTCTTGTAGGTCGAATTATCCTGAGTTTTACCTAGCTATCCTCCCGGTCAAAGGCGTTGCAGAGTTATCAGCACAGCTGGCTCTAAGCAAACCGTAGCGAGTGAGTGGTTATTGATTTCGGGCGTGAATGGCCCATTGCCGTAAGGGGAGTGCATGTAAAATCCCGGAAGGTGGCGCGTTCCTTCATCACTGAAACGTGAGAATCGGCGCCGTCCTACATGTCGACTTGCGGGTTTCCCCAATCAGGTATATCTGTAAGCGAAGCTTAGAGATAATAATTAATTAAAATATAGATATATAGAAAATATAAATAGAAAATATAGAATTAATTAAAATAAAGATTAATAAATAATATTGTTGGCAATGACGACGCATATAATTATTTCGTTAGAAATGCCAACGATAACTCACCACAACACCTATATTCTAAGCAAAGCACCGATCAAGCTAGGATACGCTTGAAGCTTCTGACACGTGCTATGTAGTGCACGTTCAGATAGTGGTTGAATTTAACCAAGCTACGTAGGTAGTGTTCAAAATCCGTCACCGTCGGGTCCAGAAACCCCGGTCTTCCCGAATGGAAACTGCGAATCTGAAACTGAAGAGTTGCCCATGCAAATGTAGCAACGAATCCTTGAATGTTTAGCGATGGAAGAGGGGGTAGGGCGAAGTGTTGAAAGGCCCTAACTCTGTGAACAGCCTTCTCTTGGATCGCTTGGTACTGTCACATACTCCGTGCGCTACTCTGTCCAATCTTGCTTACTCTTCTCTCCCTGCCATGCCTCGCGTAGCTCCACCCTCGCCCGCCCAACACTGCCACGAGTGCTATGATCACTGTTGCTACCTCCATCAATTCGAGGGCAGTTGCAAATAGACACATTTTTGCGTAATCCAATCAACCGTATAGAAACAATTTTGAGCAGCAATTACTCACAGTGCAAAGACTAATTATAAAGAATATAGTAGCACATTTTATGGGCTTTAAGGAACCTGTTGGCGTGGTTTGATAGATATTCGCACATTATTTTAAATATTGGCAAAACTACGAAAAAGGGAACACTGAAAATTTTCTCTAAGGCCTAGAGCAGCGGATAGAAGTAATTTTCACGAAATTTCATATAGTTAGTGTCTTTTATTCTGTTCTGAAGTCATATGTACAAAATTCCATTCGATTAGGAATTAAACTGTATTTATAGATTTGATATACACAATATTACGAATAATACAAATATATTATATATAAATAACTGTATTATATTGAAATATTTTATAAATTTCATAAAAAACAAACATACTTTATATAAGAAAAAATCATTTCCAAAAGAAGGCGCCGGAGCTTCTTAACATCCTCGGCCTCCTCCCCAAACAAACGCTCTCGCGACGTGACAGCAGCGCTGCCCTGCTCCGCGCATCTGCGAGCGCACGTGCGGGGTTGCGTGGACTGCTCCAGGGGCCGGAGGGGGGGGGAGTCCTTGCGCGTCGCTTGGCAACGGTCGCTGGGTTCCTCGCCCGCCTCATTCCGCCCGCCCGGCGCCCGGCACGCGCTCGCGCGGGGCATGGCCAGCACGCGTTCCATACATGACGCGGGTGGGCAAACAGAGGTATCGCTCCAGCGTGGATGCCTCGCGAAGCGTTTAAACGGTTTGCGATATTTCAAATCACACGGCACCCCTTGTTAGTTCCTCTGTTGCCGTATCGTTTTACTTTATCACCTACTACGTACTTACGTAGTGAAGAAAAAGTATTACGGTGCTGCAGCGGAATGTGGCGATTTTGCAACAGAGAAACTCGTATTATGTGTTCCTAATGTCAAAAAAGTGGATAAATCTCGGTATTTTATGTAGAAAAGTACTTACTATAATAAGTAATGAAGCCAGAATTCAAGTTTTGTGGGTCCTCGATTTCGAAAAATTGGTTCAAGGCAATACGTGAGTGGTGAACACTCACGCCTAAATCTTTCGAACGAGTTTCTTTAAAACATATTCCCCAAACTTGAGATGCTGCGAATGCTGGCCGAACTTGAGATGCTGCGAATTTAAATTGAATATTTCATTTTTTGAGGTATTCCATATGAATGGTTGTCAACGTTTTCCAACTTTTCAAAACACACATGGCTACAAATTTTAAAATAATTTTTTCTCGGGTAGAGCAAAGTACTCTTAAAACTGGCGCAAGATGCATTTTCGTTGAAATCTCTTATTTTTACAAAATTGCAAAAGTTCAATTTTTTTCATCTTCCTCCATTACATTACGTATACAGTACTACAATTACAGTATATACAGTAGATTTTGTTTTGAACATTTTTTTCTTCAAAATTTTTTTAAATAAGGCGATATTCACTATTTCTAAAATATGAGTAGTTTTTGCGTAATTTTTCATGAAATATAGACAATTTGAAAACAGGATTTTCTCACGAAGAGCTTCAAATTTTCTTTTTAATTATTATTATTGAATAGAGCCAAGTAATTGCACAAATACAATTTACGGTAAAATCTCCATATTGTTGAAAATTTCAAAAGAGCAATATTGATGTTGGAGGTTTTTTGCCTAATGAAATATTATAAATTAGGCCGAGTGCCGCAATCTTGCGACAAATAAAATCATGTAGCACATATTGACAGAGAGACATATATGGAGTTAATGACATACTAAGCTAAGTAGTCGGCCTGGATTACGAATTGGATTTTAAGAATGCAGAAGAAACTTCGGAAATTGCGGAATCTGGCAACATGGGACATACGAAAGAATTCTGTTTCTTTTGTTGCATCCACATAATTTAATCATTTGCGTACCGTCTTATTTTTGGTACTAGTGCTACAAATTTAACTCCTACTATTGAACTATGCTACTGGCTCCGTAAAACAAATTTAGATGGGTCAAAAGCAAAGATTATTATCGACTTACTGATACATTGATTTACACAATAAGTAGGATTCTTCAACAGGATTTCACAAAGATGTTAAAACGAAAACTCAAACATAAATGGATTAAAATGATATAGTTCTTTACGTAATTATTGTGGTACGTATTTATTGGATCATTGTTTAGGTTTCACAATAGAGTGTGAGTACTATCTATTGCCTGTAGAAGACTTAATCTGCAGTTCTATTATCATTCTTATTATTAATATCTGTTTCATTTCATTAAGACCCTCAATACCGTGGAAAATTGGTATAATTGTAGGTATGTTTTTTTTAAATTATGTGTCATATTCAGTTAACCAAGATGTGCGTCAATTGATCTGCAGGTGATGGATTATGCATTTTTTCTTCTGTTGACATTTCTGTGATATGATTTATATTTCCAAAGATTTTACCGGATTAATTAGCTCAGGGCATTAAATGATGTTACTGCAGTAACTCTGACCGGGAGGCCTGAGGGTTTGATTCCCGTCGGTGGAAGATTTTCGAACTAGCTACATTTCTAGGTCGAATTCAGACGCTCTCTGGAGAAGATATATAGTGGCTGGATGATTTGTCGGTAATTTCCGTGATTTCTCCAACAAACACCAGGTGAATGCCGGAGTAGTACACTCACAAACGGGCCATGGATCGCGCGCGATCTTCCTTTCCTTTTCTTTGCTCTATCCTCACCCCTTACTCAACCTTACTTCCACGCAATACACTACCAAACATTTTGGGAGACCAGTAGAGTTTGTCCCGGCTGCGGCGGCGTTTGTGGGAGATACCTGGATGAGTGAAATCCCGGAAACTGACGAGTATCTCACCAACCACGTGCGAAGGAATGCCGCCGCCTCTAACGTAACATACATGGACTACAATTACGTACTAACGACGTTAGCACTTGACGCGCTTGGAGAAATACTCAATGAATTTAGAAATTAAAAAAATATATTTTGAAGTTCATCATACTAAAATATGATTTTTCATTTTTTAAAAGTTATTTTAAAATTATAAATATTTATTGAATACGCAGGTGGTGAATTGGGACTGAGGAACCGATGCACACTATGTAAAGTCGTATTTACAAAAATATT